AAAACATTTCTTTAAATAAATAAGTACATTTTTTAAAAACCCAAAAAAGGGTACTTTCCACAAAGTATCTTGTCAGTGCCATGAAAAATTAAGAAAAACTCAAAAACTGTGATGTTCTGGATTGGACTACAGAACAAAAAAGACACTAGTGGAAAAACTAATGCAATTAAAATAAAGCCTGTAGTTTAGTTAGTGGTATTGTACCAAAACCAATTTCTTTGTTTTGACAAATGTACCATGATTGTCTAAGATGTTAGGGAAATCCCTGTGAAAAAAATACGAAAACTGAGAGTGCTCTATTTCCAAATTTTCTGTAAATCTACAACCATTTGGAAATTAAAAGTTTCAAAAAAAATTTTGGCTACATACTGTAGAATTCCAATTATATAACATTCTAGAAAGGGCAAAACTATTGGGACAATAAAAAGAGGCTGAGAGAGAAGAGGAATGAACAGGCCAACCACAGAGGGTACATGTCATTATACACATGCAGAGCTAACAGGATAGATGTGAAAATAAAGGGGAATTTATTAAGAAGTATTAACTAACACAATCACAAGGTCCCACAATAGGCCATCTGCAAGCTGAGGAGCAAGGAAGCCAATCTGAGTCCCAAAGCTGAAGAACATGGACTCTGATGTGTGATGGCAGGAAGCATCCAGCATGGGAGAAAGATGTAGGCTGGGAGTCTAAGCCAGTCTAGCCTTTTCATGTTTTTCTGCCTGCTTTATAGTCTAGATTAGATGGTGCCCACCCAGATAAGGATGGCTCTGCCTTTCCTAGCTCACTTACTCAAATGTTAATCTCCTTTAGCGACACTCTCACAGACATACCCAGGATCAATACTTTACATCTTTCAATCCAATCAAGTTAACGCTTAGTATTAACCATCTCAATACATTTGTCCAAAACCATGAAATGTGTAACACCAAGAATGGACCCTAAGTAAACTGTGGACTGTGGTTATTATGAAGTGTCATTATAAGTTCATTAATTATAATAGTTGTACCACTCTGGAGGGGGATGTTGATAATGAAAGAGGTAATGCATATGTGGGGGCAGGGAGTATATAGGAAATCTCTGTACCTTCCTCTCAAGTTTGCTGTGAACCTAAAACTACTCTAAAAAAATGGAATCTAAAAAAAAAAGTTTGTTTTTTTTTTCAATAGGTGAACCATGAGGAATAACAGGTACATGTAGACTGAAAGCAAGGAATTTATCTACTGTCATTTGCCCATTGGAAATGTAAATTTGGCACCACTGAAATTAACATGTTTTTAAGAAAGAAATGATCACTCAGAGTCTAAGGAAGACTGCCTGAATCATAGTGATCCCCTAATCGGGACAGGGAAATATAATAATCCAGATAATAAATCCTATGTTAGCATTTGTCTGGGCACAGTTCAAGCAAAAGCTCAAGGAATTCTGCTATTCTTAGAACTTCTGGTGACAAAATACACCTCTCTTAACAATCTCAAAGTGAGTTGTCTATCCTAGGCATTGGGTGTTAAAGATAGGGACACAACAGTTAATGAGATCTTCTTCAAGTTTTATTCACTGACTGTTCAGAAGGCCAACCTCTACAGAATAGTCACAAACATAAGGGATTCCGTTGGGAGTGGGAAGGGCTTCTGATCCTTGCTTGGCTAAGCTTCTTCTCCAGGGTGTTCCCTAGGTAGCCAGAAAGAGATTTCCTGGAATTATTTATGAGGATACCGGAAGGTCAGCCAGAGTACGCAGTCCTGGCAGTCATTCATTTCTCCTTTCTTACTTGAGTAATAATACCATATGTTGCTTCAAAAGAGCTACTCATATACTGAACACCTGTTATGTGCCAACTACAGTGCTAGACAATAGGAAGAGGGAGTGAACTCAGATAAAAACACTAACGATGATTATAATGATAAACACGGGATAGCATGTGTTTCTAACAGGTAAAGCACTATTCCAAGCACTGATGCATTTAACCTTTACAATAACTCATGAAATTAATTTTATTATTTCTATTTTACTGGTGGGGAAACTGATTCTCCCTCCAGGAAGCTAAAAATTATAGTAGCTTATTTAAGGTCAAACAGGAAGCATCACGATGTTTAAGAACATGGTCTTTGAAATCCAGCAGACATAGAACCAAAGCTTAAATGTGTCTCTTATTAGCTATGTGATCTTGGACAACAAATTTCACCTCTTTCTCAAGTAGTCAATTGGTAGAAGATAAAATCAACACAACTTTATTAAGTGCTTTAGCCATTAATATTGTCTGCCACAAGTTTGAGAAGAAAGAGGCCTCACACACGCCCAGAATTTGCCAAAATGTGCCAAGTGCATTATAGGTATGAATTTACTTTATCCTCAAAACACAACAAAAGATAAGGTTTTATTATTTTCTCCACTGTATTGATTAGAAAACTGATGTTCAAAGAAGTTTAACTTCCTGAAGGTCATCCAACAAGCAAGTGGCCCAGCTGCAATTTAAGTCCAGCTGTATCAGGTCCTAGTACCCTGAGTCTAAATCACTCTGCTCTACTCACTTGACATTACAGAAACTCCATCATGAATTCAATTCCTTCTAGGTAACATATTTTTAATTTTAACTGAGGCTGTAACCTGAAAGTTTATCTGTAAGTGGTATAAATTTTGGGCTGAGGGAGTCTCAGTTGGACTGGGTGAACCCTTTCATCACTAATACTGGGATTCTCAGTAACAGGCACCTTAGAAAACAAAGAGTGTCCCCTAAGAAGCTGTAATGATGCATTTTAAAGGAGAAGAGTGGGGGCAGATGGGAGAGAGGAGAAGGATGGCACAAGAAGCCTGAAAGCATAGGGAGGAGGTTCTTTTGGATTTGCAACAAACCAACAATTGACCCAATAAATCGTGGTCCAGCCGCTACCAAGAAGGCAATGCCTTCTGAGTTTTAGAGCAATTTAAGGTAAGGGCAAGGATGTGAAATAGATTCCAACCCCTGCACCAACATTACTTCCTAGTGGTAGCTGCTGGGACAGTTCTAGTTAGAATAAACATGGGACTTTGCCCAGGTTTAGCTGGAAGAGTTAAAAAAAAAAAAATGCCTCGGCCCATTAGTAAGATCTGCCACAAGTTTGGGAGCCACTTGCCTGCCCAGAATTTGCCGTTCCTGCTTAGGGGATGTCACAACCTGGATAGAGTCTGCAGGAGGAGTGAACTGGTTCAGGTCCAGCCAGGGAGCCCCAGTGTCCCAACAGAACTCTGCTTCCGCCAATCTCACAAACAAAGGCAAAACAGCACTGACAATGAGAAAGGCTCTCATTTGAATTTCTTTGGTTTTAGTTATTTTGAAAAGAGAGGCAAGCCACCAATGCCAAGACCCTTTAGGAAGAACTAAAAACTAAAGAGATTCAGGCCAGCTGGAGGGGGAAAGGAGGGTGTTCCAGCCAATTAGCCTTCCTTTGTAACATGATGGCCCTTAATCCCGCCCTCCGGAAACCTTCATAACACTCACGTGTCAACAGTACCTTAGAAGAGGGGAAACAGCAGTGAGCCAAACCTCAAGAGTGAGGGGAAAAAAAGTAAAATCTGGAATTGCAGCTCCAAACTGTACCCTTGAATGCTAGCTGCTGTCATTATTTTTTACTGAACCCTCCCTGTGCTTTCCTGACCACTGAGGACCAGGCCTCAGGGCTCCAGGGGCTTGGTCTTCCCTCTGTAGTCTTGCTACTGCCTTGCCAAACAGGCTGGTCCCACCCTCTCAAACTGTGCAGTCTTCCACCTCTGACCTCCCCAAATGGATCAAGCTTTCCATGGCTAGGCTATTAAAGGAAAACCAGTCCCACTGTTTCCTTTAATGAGCAGCTTTTACAGGGTGCCAAATGCCCTTTAAGGAGCCCAGAAGCTCAAAGCATTCTCCTGGGTTCCAGAAACCCCAGGCTAACCCAGAGTCAGTGGGAGGTAGAGACACAGACCAGACTCCAGTCAAATTAGTCTCCAGGGACTCTGCTTAACCCAAGTTGTTGGGAGACGTGTGAGATGCTAGAGTTACCATTAACGCCAATCCTAGGCTCTGCTAGGTCCTTGCGGGAATAGATCAAATCTCTCCAGGGCCCTGGCTCCAGAGAAGGTAGGACAAGAAATATCTAATGTCTTCTAAGGAAGGTGGAATCTGTTAAATGGAAATCCCTGTTGCTCTGTTGGGCACCTTGATGGATTCATGTGCACAAAGGTGGACATGAAGCAGAGTTTGAAACGAGAGAATACTGAATGATCCTGCTTAATAGAATAAGGAAAATTTATAGTTTGACTAACCATCCAGGACAGAAGGCTAAGGTGGTCAGGAGAGGAGATGACCTGAGGCTAGGGCCAAGCCCCCAATACAAAGTCCTGGGTATAGGGGCTCTGAGAACAGGGGTACCTGAGCTTCAACTTGCAGCTCTTTGCTTTTGCGCAATATAAACTCTTCTTCTATTACCTAATCACATCTTAAATTTTCAGTAAAATCTAGTAAATACATACATGGCTTTGTGTGAGTACAGCTTTTGTGCAAGCCCAAAAGAAGGCCTGAGTTTCACTTCCAGGTCAATCTGGAAAAGAGATAGTTGTGTGTGTGTCACTAAATCAGGTTGCAGGGGTTACGGGCCACGGTGATACTGGTTTCAATCCGTAAGAATTGACGGAATTTTCTAGTGCTTTCTCCATTTTATTCTAAGTGGAAAGTCAATTGGATTAACAATTTACCTTCTACCTTTTTCAAGTTTTTTCCATGTTTCAGACATATTAGGGCACTATGGAGAAATGGTAATGAAAATATAAACTTAAGATTTCAACAAATATGGGTCTGAGTTCCAGGTCTGCTTTACCGGCTACCTGATGCTAAGCCTCAGTTTCCTAATCTATTAAGCAGGAACCAATGACATATTCCTTTTAATGACCATTCCTTATAAAGGATCAATGAGACAATCTATGTGAAATATTTGCCATGATAACTGACACACAGTAACACTCAATAAATGGTGGTTGCTTTCATTCACCTGTTAGTGACGATGCTGATAGTGATGACAGGCACACTGACAAGGACAGTTCCTGATTGTAGAGCTCCTGTCACTGGGGAGAGGGTAAAAAAGGAGTGATTAAAAAAAAATTAAGATAAAAGGAAACAAATCTTAGAAAATCTGCCCTACTGACCTGTATTGGCCTATAAGTAAGCACCAAATAAGCTTTACTGTGCTTGTCTTAAAATGCAAAGATTGTTTCTTATCACAATTAGCTGATGTGTGCTAATGCAGGCACCACTACACACTGGCCAAGTTTGGCAGGGATATGAAAAGAAAGGAGGGGTGGGCGTGGTGACTCACACCTGTAATCACAACACTCTGAGATACCTAGGCAGGCAGATCACTTGAGCCTAAGAGTTCAAGACCAGCCAGGGCAGCATGGTGAAACCTCATCTCTACAAAAGATACAAAAAGTTAGGTGTGGTGGTGCACGCCTGTAGTCCCAGCTACTCAGAGGCTGAGGTGGGAGGATCACCTGAGCCCAGGAAGTTGAGGCTGCAGTGAGCCATGATTGTGCCACCACACTCCAGCCTGGGCAACAAAGTGAGACCCCGTAAAAAAATAAAAAAATAAAAATAAAATAAAATAAAAAGAGAGAGAGAAAAGAAAAGGAAAAGAGGAAAGAAAAGAAAGGAGGTTCGTGAATTGGATATGTTTTATACAGAGACAAGTGAATGATGACCTCTGTCCAAAACCTCATAAAATCAAATGTGTTAGGCTTGGCTTTTCTCCCATGCCACCTAATCTTTCCTTTATTCATTTCCAAGTGAATTATTTTTCTTCCTGGGAGATTACCTATATATATGTACAGATTACATATATGTAATCTCCCAGGAAGAAAAATAATACATATATTCATAACTTATATGAATATATATACTATATATACTCATCTATTCAGTTTGAATATAGGTAATTACCGATTTCTACCCTCCATGTGTCTTCTTGTAGAGAAACATTGTTCCTGACAGATCCGGCCAATCTCCTTTCTAACACGGCTGCTTTACACTTCCTCCTTCTGGCCCAGCTGCCTTAGGGAAGACTGTTCGACAGAACTTGGCATGCACAGATTCCAGGGTTATCTTTATCTGGGGCCCATCATTTTGTTTTCAGTCTGAAAAATAATGCCTCCTTCATGCTGTAGAAGCCAAAAAGACTTTATTTCCCTCCAAAGAGGTTTCAGGAGATCCTGTATCACTGACTTAGGCAAATCCAGCTTGATTACATGCATTGTCTCCTTGTCTTCCCTCACGCAACACAAAACCTTCTAAAGGAAGGTTTAATGTGAAACGGAGACTTTCCAGTTTCACTTTTTCCATCAGTACCGTCAGTACAAAAGCCCTACTTTGGAAAATGAGAGTGAGAACTATTTAGTTAATCACAGGATTCAGATTTTTTCAGTGGGCCATAGGAAAGATGAAAATAGTCCTTTTCTAGAATCAATGCTTGAGGACACACAAGCATACTAAAAGGGAAACATCAATTGGCTTAAAAAATAAAAATATAAGTGGCAAGCTCTTTCTGAGGGGGAAAACGCCATTTTTCTTGGCATGATTGGCATGACATTGATCAGTGTTCTTTTTATTGTCCAAAGTCATTTTGAGGAGATTGGTTTCTCTAAAAACAAATCTACTCCATAATCCATCATCACTAGAGTATTTCAGTAGTTTTTTTGCTAGCTATTAGTCTTACCATTTGTTCTCTCTCCCTTAACTAGAGGAGAAACTTCATTTAATGCAATAAGTGAAAAATAACTTTCAAATCAGACTTGGTTTTTGAATCACAATTATGTCATCTAAATTTTATTATGTCTTAGTTTCCCTATATATAAAATAAGAAAATGCCTACATTATAGTTTTAAAGATTAAATAAGAAACTGAACTGAATAGTAGCTAACATTTATTGCATGCCAATTACCTTATATATGTTATTTAATCCTCCAACAATCAGTCCCATATTGAACACACCACTATCAACTTTATTTTGCAGATGAGAATACAGAGGCACAAAACAGTTAAGTAACTTGCTCAAGGTCACTCACTGCAACAGTCAGGGAATGCAGTGGACTGAAAGTTTATGTTCCTCCAAAATTTATATATCAAAATCCTAACTTCCAGGGCAACGGTATTAGGAGGTGGGGCCCTTGGGAAGTGATTAGGTCATGAGGATGAAGTTCTCATGAATAGAACTAGTGTCCTTATATATTAAAAAAAAAAAAGACCACTTGCCTCCTCTACTATGTGAGGATACAGTGAGAAGGTGCTCTCTAAGAAGTAGCAGGCTGTCGTGAGACACAAATCTGCCAGTGGCTTGATCTTGGACTTCCCAGCCTCCATACCTGTAAGAAATAAATTTCTGGGTTTTTTACAAGCCACCCCGTTTAAGGTATATTTGTTTTAGCACTTTGAACAGACTAAGACAGGGAGGCAGACATGTTCAAAGGGGAAACTGAGAATGTTTAATAGTGACTGATATGGTTTGGCTCTGTGTCTCTACCCAAATCTCATCTTGAACTGTAATCCCCATAATCCCCATGTGTCAAAGGAGGGACCTGATGGGAGGTGATTGGATCATGGGGGCAGCTTCCCCCATGCTGTTCTCCTGATAGTAAATGAGTTCTCATGAGATCTAATAGTTTTATAAGTGTTTGACAGTTGCTCCTTCACATGCGCTCCCTGTCCTGCCACCTCGTAAAGAAGGTGCCTGCTTCCCCTTCAACTATGATTGTAAGTTTCCTGAGGCCTCCCTAGCCTTGTAGAACTGTGAGTCAATCAAATCTCCTTTTCTCATAAATTACCCAGTCTGAGGTAGAATCTTTATAGCAGTATGAAAACCAACTAATATGGTGGCAGATCCAGGGACTGCCCAAGAGTCATTCCCATCTCTCAGCCAGAAGGGACAAGAAAAGAGACCAGCATAGCTGAAACCAGGTGAGATCCATATACATGGGAGAGATGATCATAAAGAAAGCCAGCCACTGCCAAAACCATAACTTGGCAAGAAAGAAGAAAGGGGATTAATATCCTGACCGCTCTTTTCTCTTCCCATCTAATCTTCTGCCAGTACTTCCCATTGAGCAAACTCAACTGGAAGTCGTAGGTCAAGGGATCCCAGGTGACATTGGACGTAGACGTCAGCATCCCAGGGCACAGAATAAGCCCCAGAATGGACCAGTACTCGCAAGTGGAGAAAAACTAAAACACGTTACAGGTAGGATTCAAATCTATGCTACTAAACACTAATTCCATTGCCTTTTGAGAGTCAACCAGTTGGCTTCTCTCCTCCATATCTGCAAAGCCTTTGGTGCCTCAGTTCCATGTCCAATGGAACTGCTCTTGAGAGCAGACAGCACTTTCACTTAAAGGCATGACTTTCACCAGGAGGACTCACTGAACAAGGAGCACAAATGGTTTACTCAAGAGTCCCCATCAGACAAATATTCTCAAGCCGCTTCTCCTGGTTCTCGCCATGTGGTGCCAGTTCTTTCCTCACCCTTCATGCATAGCAAGCTAGCATCTTTCAGTTCTTCTTGCCCCATTTTCTACTAAAAAGATCCCTCCTTATTTTAAACCTGCCCCTCCCAAGCCCCAGAGGTTTCCTTCTCTACCTCAGTGGGTTGAAGAAACTAACTTTTCAGCAAAAAAAGTGTCTCTGTCCACAAAGAATTCTCACATCATCTACCAAGAAAACATTTGTTCTTATCAATGCATATGAATGCATAGGGACTGGCATAATGCTTGCACAAAAGAGGACTCATTAAATGAAGATTATTATTACTATTAGCAGTATTATTGTCACTTTGCCTAAGTGAGCTTAAACAGAAAGCTTACAGTGACTGTAGACAATGATAAAAATGCAGAGGGCCAGGTTCTAGGCAAGAGAGACAATGCTTCTGTGAAAACACCCTGAAATATTTCCCAGGAGATGCACAGCTACCTCTGACACCATAATGCATTTCTGCTCAGCCTTTTTACTGAGGGTTTTGGCAGCATTCTTTGGATTGCTGTTCTCCCGAATCACTCTCCTAGGCACCTTCATCAACAAGGAAATATTTTTTGACAAGTTACAGATGTTCCTCTTTTCCTGAGAAACACCCCAACACATATTATTTTTCAAAATGTTGAGTTTCGTGCCATGAAAATTGTATTTCTGGCCTTGGGTTAGCATGATATAAGAAACTTGAATAACCGTGACCAATGCAGGGATAATCTTTTGTTTTTTGACTTTTAAACAGGCATTTTTGACATTGCCCATAAGTCTCTACTCTTTCAGACATTTGTCTAAACCAAAATGCATTTTCCTGTCCAAAAAAATAGCAAGTTTAAGCTTGTTCCCATTACTTCACCTTCCTTTGGCTCTATAATCTATCAAATATATTATACACAGAAGACATCTAAGGCTACAGAGACTTTGTGGGTTCTTGAATCTTTTTTCAATTAATTTATTTTTACTGTATATATTTAAGGCATACGTGATGTTTTGATATTCATATACATAGTGCAATGATTAGAGTCAAGCAAATAAACATATTTATCACCTTTCATAGTTACCTTATTTTTCCTTGTGGTTTTTTACTCTTCATTCATCAGTTTCCTTGCTGTAAATGTTAAACTTTGATGCTCCCAAAATGGGTAACAGTGTGAGTATGAATGAGAACAGGGCTATGGAATGAAGACAATTTCTAATATGGTTTGGCTGTGTCCCCATCCAAATCTCATCTTGAATTTGCACATGTTGTGGGAGGGACCTGGTGGGAGGTAACCAAATCATGGAGGCAAGTCTTTCCCATGTTGTTCTCATGATAGTGAGTAAGTCTCACGAGATCTGATGGTTTTAAAGAGAAGGAGTACCCCTGCATAAGCTCTCTCTCTTTGCCTGCTGCCATCCATGCAAGACATGACTTGGTCTTCCTTGTCTTCTGCCATGATTGGGAGGCTTCCATAGCCACATGGAACTATAAGTCCAATTAAACCTCTTTCTTTTGTAAATTGCCCAGTCTCAGGTATGTCTTTATCAGCAGCACGAAAA